ACGGAAACAATAAAATACTACCTCTGGTCCTTAATAGTTAGTTGATTAATTTTAGTAAATTGATGAAGTTTATTAAGTTAGTTATTTGCAGTAAATAAGTATTGTTTTTCTTAAAATATCCTTACTAATTATATGTATACGAAATAAATATGTGAGAAGAGTATTACATCAACTTGCATAAAAACACTTTTTGGATAAACCAAACATCCTCAAAGGAAAAAAGTGCAAATGCGTTTATTTCTTTTTACTGCTATTTTTTATTATGAGAAATAAACTTGCTTAGCCTTCCTTATTAGAGTAACAACCTTCCTAAATCGGCTTCCATGCTAATTTTTTGTCACTTTCAATCTTTCATTAACTAATGATGATGAATAGTTGTATTAATTGTCATTCTATAATTTTAAATAACAGTAATTACGATTCGAATTATTTCAAATACTGTTTTTTATCAGGCAAACTTGTATCTTTGATCCTTTGAATTTACTTAAAATTTTATTTTGAAAACACATTATCACATGCTCATGTATCACGTTTAATTTTAAGGGACCAAACTAAAATTTTGCATAAAGTTAAAAGATCAAAAATATACTTTTATCTTTTTATTAATTAGTAGTATTTTTTCCTCTTTTTGCCAACTAATTAATAGTATTTCAATTAAATAGTAATGTTAAATTTTATTCTAATCTAAGTTATTTAAGCTCTCTTAACCCGTACGCGTAAATCTTAAATGATAAATATCATAAAAAAATTAATGATTATGCTTTGTTTATCTCATATGGCCCAGGGCCTCAAAATATTATTTTTATTCTCTAATCTTTCTTATCCCAAAATATAATCTTTCCAATTTAGTCTTGCTTGAAAATATATAGTTCCTTGGAAATGTAAAGCATCGATATCTTTAAATTTAATAAGAACAATGCGGGAAAGTATTATTATTATTATTTTTAGTAAATTTATGAGTTAACTTTCATTTTGCTTCTTTATTTCTCTTTATCTATATGCACGTAATAAGTAAACCGACAGGGGAGAACAAGTGAGGAAAACTTTAATATTGACGTGGGCGGTTGAGAATATAATGATAATTTCATCCCAATAAGGCGGCCCCGCGCGTATGTGCAACGCGTTTTCTTTGTCTTATTTACTCCTCCGGTTCTTATTATAAGACCCCATTTGACTTTTTATTTGGTCCTAATTATAAGACCCCAATCCATTTTATCTCTTATATTTATGCATTTTTTTCCAAGATAATCCTTCTAATAATAATAGTTTTAGCCAATATACTTAATTAGCAAGGATATTTTAGGAATGACAACACTTATTTATTATAAATAACCAACTTAACTTACTTCCTTAATCTTCTCAAATAAGTCAATTGGGTCTTATAATTAGGACCGGAGGAGTATTTATTTTGCCAACGGTTTTCTCTGTCTTTTTTATGGTGTCATTGGACGACATTGATTTGTAAACAATACTTCCAGAGCCATGGTGGTTAAGCTTTTGTCTATATAAAGACTCTATGATGGGTACATTCATTATTGTGTGATCGCCACTTTGTGCAAACATAATTAAAGGAAGATGGGTGTGATGATATTGGTATTGTTACTATGCTTTGCTATAGCTTGCTCCCAACAGATTAATATGATAGAAGAGGAGAAACGAGCTTTGCTTCAGACCAAATGGTGGGATTTTAGCGATAACTTCTCGGATGACTCTTGTAATTGGGAAGGCATATGTTGCAATGAATTTGGAAGTGTTATTGAGATGAGTCAGCCAATGATCACTCCAAAGGACCCTTGGCTAGTAGATCTAAACCTCACTGCATTTCCCAACCTACAACATTTGGGTCTTCGTGAAATGGGTTTGATAGGTACTATTCCAACTCAGATAGCAACTCTTCATAATCTTAGGCATTTGTACTTGTTTCATATTAATCTTACTGGTAAGTTATATAGCTTTTGCTTTCACTCTTACCTTGCAAAACTCAGTCAATTTTAAAATGTCATATTTACTTCCACAGAATCTAATACATCTATTGACAAGTACTATTCCAACGTAGATAGGAGTCTTTCAAAATCTCACCATTATTTATTTCAAAAAAATCTTGCTAGTAAATTAATTAATATTTACTCTTACTAAAGCTCACTCATATACTGGAAAGTTAACATTTATTCTAGCTTTTGCCGGTGACCTCTTATGCATCAGTTGGATTGGGAGAACTATGTTTGTGAACTTTGGTTATCCAGTTTTTAAAATATTGATGATCTATCACTTCGTTTTTCTGGAATTTCAGAAAAATATAGGAGGAGGCAAAATTAATAGAAGAGACTGAAAACCAAGCTAATTTTTTGTAGCTAAGTTATCCGGTTTTGCATGTCCCAAATGTTTGCTCACAATTTTATCGGGACACTTGTGATAGGAACCAGTTTAAATGATTATTACAGGGATGATCATTAATAAGGTTATCACTGCAATATATCATGAACAATTATAGTTTCAACTATTTGAATTTATAATTTTTTAACCAATAATTTTTAAGTAAGTAAAAAAATTATTTTCTTGAAAATGTGAAGAATTAAGATATTATTTATATTTTAAATTTCTGCACAGATGAAAATATAAAATTATTTAAAACATAAAAAATAAAATTATATTAAATCTAGATTGTTCAATTTCATTTTGAGCAGTCCACATTCCACTACAAAAAAAAAATTGACTTTTGGCAGCGATGACATGAAAAGTCAAAAAGTCACCGCTGAAAATTTTCAACAGTGACTTTTTGTTTCCATCAAGTCGCTGTGGTAGCGACTGTTGCTAATATAATAGGCAATGACAAAATAAGTTGCTGCTGACATGTCCTTTTAGCAGCCACATTCAGTGCCTTCAACGGCAACCCTATATGTCACTGTTAAATCATACTTTCAGAGGTGACAAATATCGTTGTCAAAAGTGGGAAAAAAATAATAATAACACATCATCACCCACCAGCAGCCACACCAATACTATTTATAATAAATATTTATTAATATATATTTGATATAAATATATAAATATTATTGTATAAATACGTTAAATTATACATATGTTAACATATACTATAATATTAATGTATATTATAAAAATTACGTAAATACATATTAATAGTATATCTTATATTTTAATATATATATTTATAAACTATTTCTAATATTCTTCTTAAATAAATTAAAGTATTTATATAGTGAACGAAATATAATGAATTTAATAAATTTTTTATTTATAGTCATTTTATAATATTACTTAATATATTAATTAAAAATAAAAATTATTATATAAAAATAAAAAATGTCATTTACAGATTACGTCATGTATTTTTTTCATTGCTTGATAAATTTATTTTTCATCTAAATTAATTACAGAATTTAATTTTTACGTATATTTTCGGCTTTTATATTTTTATTTGTTAAATATTAATTTATTAGAAATTGTAGAATAAATGTATGATTTATATTGATATTTTAAGATAATATTAAATAATTATATAATATCATATAAATATATTTAATATATTTTTTAGACAAGAATGTGATTATATCTAATCTATCTATAAGGATATCTTGATTAAGGTGCGAAGAAAAAATATCCCATGTGGCTTGAGGATAAATTTATCAAACTTTTATAGGCTTAATTATATGATTTATATTTATTGTCCATCTCTTCACCTCCCCTGCACATCAAACAAAATATAAATATAATTTATGTCTTCATTTCTTCAGTGGTGACAAGTCGTTCTGAAAGTCTCTTTCAGTGGCGACTTTATTTTGTTGCTGCTAAAACTGGTAGGTTTTGGCGGTGATATCCGCCATCACCCCTACAAGTGAAAACATTTAGTGATGACATAAAAAATAGCTGTAGAAGCTCAAAATTTTTTCCAGACACTTGTCTGACTTTTCATGGCAACATTTTGTGTCAATATTGAAAACTCACCTGTTTTCAAGTCAGTCATGGCTAGCATATCTCAACTTCACTGTATTTACCAATTTTACAGAATTGGATCTTAGAGAAATAGGATTGATAGGTATGATTCCCATTCAAATAGGACCTTAGAAAACAAGGAAATCAAACCTGCAATACATACATCAGCTTGCGGTACAATTCTAGCTCTTTCCCACACTATATTTCTAATGGTAATGTAGAAATACTTGGAAAAGAGGAGATCAACAATTGTTCTACAATTCCTTTATTTGATAAGAAATAAACTATAATATATTTGCAACTCAAATTATTGGCTATCACAAGTACCATGCCAACTCCAATGGGAACTCTTCATAATCTTCTCGTTTTGGACTTGTCTAATAACAATCCTATTGGTGAATTATGCACCTTTCACTGTCATCTTATAAATTTGCTCAATTTAGAGTTTTATTTGCCTCTATAACTTAATAGAGCAAATTAACCCTCAAATTTTACTTGACAAGAAATAAACTACAACACATTTGCAACTCAAATTATTAGCTTTGACAGGTACCATTCCAACACAAATTGGAGCTCTTCATAATCTTACTAATATGGACTTGTCTAACAACAATCTTAACGGTGAGTTATGCACCTATCACTCTCATCTTGCAAATTTGTTCAATTTAGAGTTTTATTTGCCTCTATATAGAGCAAATTAACCCTCAATTTTTACTCCATAAGAAATAAACTACAATATATTTACAACTCAAATTATTGGCTTCGACAGGTACCATTCCAACTCAAATTAGAGCTCTTCATAATCTTACCCATTTGGACTTGTCTAACAACAATCTTCTTAGTGAGTTATGCACCTTTCACTCTCATCTTGTAAATTTACTCAATTTAGAGTTTTATTTTCCTCTATAACCTAATAGAACAAAGTAACCCACAATTTTTATTTGAAAAAAAATAAACTACACCACATTTACAACTCAAATTATTGGCCTTGACAGGTACCATTCCAACTCAAATTGGAGCTCTTCATTATCTTACTGATTTGGACTTATCTACCAACAATCTTGTTGGTGAGTTATGCACCTTTTACTCACATTTTGTAAATTTGCTCAATTTAGAGTTTTATTTGCCTCTATAACTTAATAGAGCAATTTAACGATCAATTTTTATTTGAGAAGAAATAAACTACGACACATTTGCAACTCAAATTATTAGCCTTGACAGGTACCATTCCGACTCAAATTGGAGCTCTTCATAACCTTATCCATTTGGACTTGTCTAAAAACAATCTTATTGGTGTGTTATGCACCTTTCACTCTCGTCTTGCAAATTTGCTTAATTTAGAGTTTTATTTGCCTCTATAACTTAATAGAGCAAATTAACCGTCAATTTTATTGGGAAAATTCCTGATAAAGTCATTTGAATATGCATAATTCCATATTAGGTCCTGGAATTGTCTAAATGACAGAAAGGGTCAATGACCCAATTTGTCATTTGTAAAATCAAGAAGAATTGATAATTTTGTCCTCATTTGTATTCATTTACGACAATAATTTAAGGAATTACTATAAGGGTTTAGGTGTTACCTAGATTCATGTAGAGAATAACTATTTATTTTTTCGTAGTCAAGAATACCCCATAAGAAGATGCCTTGTTATTAACTACAACTAATCATGTAATCGCTAGAACAGTATAAGCATTACCTAGATTTGTTTAGAGAATAACTACTCACTTTTATTTTCATTTGTATTCATTCACTACAATAATTTAAGGAATCAGTATAAGGATTTGGGTGTTACCTAGATTTGTGTAGAGAATAACTATTTATTTTTTCATAGTCAGGAATGCCCCATGAGAAGATGCCTTGTTATTAACTACAACTAATCATATAATCACTAGAACAGTATAAGCGTTACCTAGATTCGTTTAGAGAATAACTACTCACTTTTGCTTAATTAGGACAAAATTGTCAATTTTTCTTAATTTTAGAAATGACAGATTGGGTCATTGACCCTTTCTGTCATTTACATAATTCCAGGACCTAATATGGAATTATATATATTTGAAGGGCTTTATCTGGGATTTTTCCATTTTTATTTGATAAGAAATAAGCACCAATACATTTACAACTCAAATGACGAGCTTTGACAGGTATCATTCCAACTCAAATTGGAGTTCTTCATAGTCTTATCTCTTTGAACTTGACTAACAACAGCCTTATTGGTGAGTTATGCACTTTTTACTCTCATGTTGCAAATTTGCTCAATTTAGAGTTTTATTTGCCTCTATAACTTAATAGAGCAAATTAACCTTTACTTTTTATTTGATAAGAAATAAACCACAACACATTTGCAACTCCAATTATTGGCTTTGATAGGTACCATTCCAACTCAAATTGGAGCTCTTCATAATCTTACCCATTTGGATTTGTCTAACAACAATCTTAATAGTGAGTTATGTACCTTTCACTCTCATATTGCAAATTTGTTCAATTTAGAATTTTATTTGTCTCTATAACTTAATAGAGCAAATTAACCAACAATTTTTATTTAATAAGAAATAAACTACACCACATTTGCAACTCAAATTATTGGCCTTGACAGGTACCATTCCAACACAAATTGGAGCTCTCCATAATCTTACCCATTTGAACTTGTCTACCAACTATCTTGTTGGTGAGTTATGCACCTTTCACTCTCATCCTGCAAATTTGCTCAATTTAGAGTTTTATTTGCCTCTATAACTTAATAGAGCAAATTAACCCTCAATTTTTACTTGATAAGAAAAAAACTACAGTACATTTGTAACTCAAATTATTGGCTTTGACAGGTACCATTCCAACTCAAATTGGAGCTCTTCATAATCTTGCTTATTTGGACTTGTCTAACAACAATTTTAATGGTGAGTTGTGCACCTTTCACTCTCATCATGCAAATTTGCTCAATTTAAAGTTTTATTTTCCTCTATAACTTAATAGAACAAATTAACCCACAATTTTTATTTGACAAGAAATAAATTACATGACATTTGCAACTCAAATTATTGGCCTTGACAGGTACCATTTCAACTCAAATTGGAGCTCTTCGTTATCTTAGCGATTTAGACTTGTCTACCAACAATCTTGTTGGTGAGTTATGCACCTTTCACTCTCATTTAGCCAATATGCTCAATTTAGAGTTTTATTTGCCTCTATCACTTAATAGAGCAATTTAACTCTCAATTTGTATTTGATAAGAAATAAACTATGACATATTTGCAGCTCAAATTATTAGCTTGGACAGGTATTATTCCGACTCAAATTAGAGCTCTTGATAACCTTATTCATTTGGACACGTCTAAAAACAATCTTATTGGTGACTTACGCACCCTTCACTCTCATTTTGCAAATTTGCTCAATTTAGAGTTTTATTTGCCTCTACACTTGAAAGAGGAAATTAACCTTCAATTTTTATTTGATAAGAAATAAACTACAACACATTTGCAACTCAAATTATTGGCTTTCGCAGGTACTATTCCAACTCAATTTGGAGCCTTTCAAAATCTTATCCATTTGGACTTGTCTTACAATAATCTTATTGGTGAGTTATGGACGTTTCACTCTCATCTTGCAAATTTGCTCAATTCATAGTCTTATTTGCATCTATAACTCAATAGAGCAAATTAACCCTCAATTTTTATTTTATAAGAAATAAACTAAAACACATTTGCAACTCAAATTATTGGCTTTGCCAGACACCATTCCAACTCAAATTGGAGCTCTTCATAATCTTGCCTATTTGGACTTGTCTAACAACAATTTTAATGGTGGGTTGTGCACCTTTCACTCTCATCATGCAAATTTGCTCAATTTAGAGTTTTATTTTCCTCTATAACTTAATAGAACAAATTAACCCACAATTTTTATTTGACAAGAAATAAACCACAACACATTTACAACTCCAATTAATGGCTTTGATAGGTACCATTCCAAATCAAATTGGAGCTCTTCATAATCTTACCCATTTGGACTTGTCTAACAACAATCTTAACGGTGAGTTATGCACCTTTCACTCTTGTCTTGCAAATTTACTCAATTTAGAGTTTTATTTGCCTCTATAACTTAATAGAGCAAATTAACCAACAATTTTTATTTACTAAGAAATAAATTACACATTTGCAACTCAAATTATTGGCCCTGACAGGTACCATTCCAACACAAATTAGAGCTCTTCATAATCTTACCTATTTGGACTTGTCTACCAACTATCTTGTTGGTGACTTATGCACCTTTGACTCCCATCTTGCAAATTTACTCAATTTATAATTTTATTTGCTTCTGTAACTTAATAGAGGAAATTAGCCTCTCAATTTTTATTTGATAAGAAAGAAATTACAACACATTTGCAACTCAAATTATTGGCTTTGATAAGCACCATTCCAACTCAAATTGGAGCTCTTCATAATCTTATTCTTTTGGACTTGTGTAACTAATCTTATTGGTGAGTTATGCACCTTTCACTCTCATTTTGCACATTTGGTCAGTTTAGAGTTTCTTTGCCTCTATGACTTAATAGAGTAAATTAACCCATAATTTTTACTTGATAAGAAATAAACTACAACACATTTGCTTCGACAGGTGCCATTCCAACTCAAGTTGGAGCTCTTCATAATCTTGCCTATTTAGACTTGTCTAACAACAATCTTTTTGGTGAGTGATACACCTTTGGCTCTTATCTTGTAAATTTACTCAATTTAGAGTTTTATTTATCTTTATAACTTGATAGAGCAAATTAATCCTCAATTTTTATTTGATAAGAAATAAACTACAATACATTTGCAACTCAAATTATTGGCTTTGACAGGTACCATTCCAACTCAAATTGGAGCTCTTCATAATCTTGCCTATTTGGACTTGTCTAACAACAATTTTAATGGTGGGTTGTGCACCTTTCACTCTCATCATGCAAATTTGCTCAATTTAGAGTTTTATTTTCCTCTATAACTTAATAGAACAAATTAACCCACAATTTTTATTTGACAAGAAATAAACCACAACACATTTACAACTCCAATTAATGGCTTTGATAGGTACCATTCCAAATCAAATTGGAGCTCTTCATAATCTTACCCATTTGGACTTGTCTAACAACAATCCTAACGGTGAGTTATGCACCTTTCACTCTTGTCTTGCAAATTTACTCAATTTAGAGTTTTATTTGCCTCTATAACTTAATAGAGCAAATTAACTAACAATTTTTATTTACTAAGAAATAAATTACACATTTGCAACTCAAATTATTGGCCCTGACAGGTACCATTCCAACACAAATTAGAGCTCTTCATAATCTTACCCATTTGGACTTGTCTACCAACTATCTTGTTGGTGACTTATGCACCTTTGACTCCCATCTTGCAAATTTACTCAATTTATAATTTTATTTGCTTCCGTAACTAGGTGCCATTCCAACTCAAATTGGAGCTCTTCATAATCTTGCCTATTTAGACTTGTCTAACAACAATCTTTTTGGTGAGTGATACACCTTTGGCTCTTATCTTGTAAATTTGCTCAATTTAGAGTTTTATTTGCCTCTATAACTTAATAGAGCAAATTAACCCTCAATTTTTACTTGATGAGAAAAAAACTACAGTACATTTGTAACTCAAATTATTAGCTTTGACAGCTACCATTCCAACTCAAATTGAAGCTCTTTATCATCTTGCCTATTTGGACTTGTCTAACAATAATCTTACTGGTGAGTTACGCACCTTTCACTCTCGTCTTGCAAATTTGCTCAATTTAGAGTTTTATTTGCCTCTATAACTTAATAGAGCAGATTAAACTTTAATTTTTATTTGATAAGAAATAAATTACAGCACATTTGCAACTCAAATTATTGGCTTTGACAGGTATCATTCCAACTCAAATTGGAGCTCTTCATAATCTTACCTATTTGGACTTATATAACAACAATCTTTTTGGTGAGTTATGCACCTTTCACTCTCATCTTGCAAATTTGCTCAATTTAGAGTTTTATTTCCCTCTATACTTAATAGAGCAAATTAACCATCAAGTTTTATTTGATAAGAATAAACTGCAACATATTTGCAACTCAAATTATTGACTTTGACAGGCACCATTCCAACTCAAATTGGAGCTCTTCATCATCTTGATTGTTTGGACTTATCTAACCATAATCTTACTGGTAAGTTATGCACCTTTCACTCTCGTCTTGTAAATTTGCTCAATTTAGAGTTTTATTTGCCTCTATAACTTAAGTTACCAAATTAACCCTCAATTTTTGTTTGATGAGAAATAAACGATAGCACATTTGCAACCCAAATTATTGGTTTTGATAGGTATCATTCCAATTCAAATTGGAGGTCTTCATGACCTTACAGATTTGGACTTGTCTAACAATAGCCTTGTTGGTGAGTTATGCATCTTTCACTCTCGTCTTACAAATTTTCTCAATTTTAAGTTTTATTTGCCTCTATAACTTAATTCAGCGAATTAACCCTTAGTTTTTACTTGATAAGAAATAAGCTCTAATACTTTTACAACTCAAATAACTGGCTTTGACAAGTACCATTCCAACTCAAATTGGAACTCTTGCAAATCTCATTTATCTAAACTTGTCTTACAACAATATTATCGGTAAGTTACGTACCTTCTACCCTTAGATCTCAAATTTACTCAATTTAGATTTGAAATAACCTACAAGACATTTACAATTCAATTGGCCAGTAAAATTATTATAAGACACAGGCAATGCTAATTAGTTCATCTACCTACAAAATTCAATAAAAAATTTAGAGTTTTATTTTCCTCTATAACTTAAGTGACCAAATTAACCTTTAATTTTTGTTTGATAAGAAATAAACTACAACACATTTGGAACTCAAATTATTGGCCTTGATAGGTACCATTCCTACTCAAATTGGAGCTCTTCATAATCTTAACAATTTGGACTTGTCTAACAACAATCTTGTTGGTGAGTTATGCACCTTTCACTCTCATCTTGCAAATTTGCTCAATTTAGAGTTTTATTTGCCTCTATAACTTAAGTTACCAAATTAACCTCAATTTTTGTTTGATGAGAAATAAACTATAGCACATTTGCAACCCAAATTATTGGTTTTGATAGGTATCATTCCAATTCAAATTGGAGGTCTTCATAACCTTACAAATTTGGACTTGTCTAACAATAGCCTTGTTGGTGAGTTATGCATCTTTCACTCTCGTCTTACAAATTTTCTCAATTTTAAGTTTTATTTGCCTCTATAACTTAATTCTGCGAATTAACCCTTAGTTTTTACTTGATAAGAAATAAGCTCTAATACTTTTACAACTCAAATAACTGGCTTTGACAGGTACCATTCCAACTCAAATTGGAGCTCTTGCAAATCTCATTTATCTAAACTTGTCTTACAACAATATTATCGGTGAGTTACGTACCTTCTACCCTCAGATCTCAAATTTACTCAATTTAGATTTGAAATAACCTACAAGACATTTACAATTCAATTGGCCAGTAAAATTATTATAAGACACAGGCAATGCTAATTAGTTCATCTACCTACGCAATTCAATAAAAAAATTTAAGGTAGATGTTATAAGACACAACCAATGCAAATTACTTCATCTTCCTAGAAAATTCAATAAAAAAAAGTTGCAGTAGATGAGTAAGGATAACTCATAGATATGATGCTGCACTTTTATCAAGAACTGGTGAGCATATTTTTTCGTTGTTCCCCCACCACTTTCCCACCCCACAATTATTCAACTCTATATACTTTTCGTCAGTGAAAGGAATAAAGGAAATAGAATTGGCATAGATAGAATAATTTCTACCCCACTCTCATCATTCCCATGGTATTAGTATTATATATATGAGTATAACAACACATGGTTGGTTAACATGTGAGGTCCAGTTAAGGAGTCTTGTAACAAGAAAATTCAAATAAATTTATGTTTAGCAACAAATATAAGTTAATTGTAATGTAAACCTACACTGTCTATTAAACCTTTCAGGTAGAGTTGTTCTTCTAACAATTTAATTTGCAACATATTTGCAATTCAACTGGCCAATAAAATTATTACACAACGCAAGCAATGCTAATTAGTTCATCTTTTTAGAAAAGTTAATTAAAAAAATAAAGCTCGAATTGATGAATAAGGATACCTTGTAAACATGATGCTGCACTTCTGTCAAGAACTAGTGACCATATTCTTTCACTGTTCCCCCCTCCCCCCACTTTCCTACCCTACAATTATTCAACCCTATATACTTTTTGTCAGTAAAAGGAATAAAGAAAATAATATTCGCATGGATAGAATAACTCCCACCCCACTCTCATCATTCCTATTGTATTAGTATGATATATGTGATGAGTATAGAAACACACAGTTGGGTAACATGTGAGGTCTAGTTAAGCAGTCTTGTAACAAGAAAATTCAGATAAATTTATGTTTAGCAACAAATAAAAGTTAATTGTAATGTAAACCTACATTGTCTATTAAACCTTTCAAATAGAGTTATTCTTCTAACAATTTAATTTATTATTGTAATAGACATTAATAAAACAGGCAGTGTTGGCGAAACTGGCCCAAGTGTAGGGTCTATTGGTCTCAAATGAAAATTATTATTTCTAAATCTTCTAAATGGAATGGAGTGATTAGCAGAATTTTGATATGATAGCCCTTAGTAACCACTAGAAATAAACAAAATCTCACACTAACACTGCTACAAAAAAAAAAGGGTGAATAACAATGAGGTCCCAAAGAAAGGAAAAATAAAATAAAATAAGTCCCAAAGATTGTCATTCTCTACTTTAAAACTTATCATTACAGGCTACTTAAGTTGTTATTGGGATATTTTAATAATTATTTCTTTTCCTTGGCACTTGATTGTAATTCTCCCTAAAAAAAATCTTTTAAGGGGCTTAAAAAGGATTTTTCATGACGATTTTAGAGGCAAAGTAATTACTGTCGATGTAAAAAAATGAGAATTTCATGGTGGTTCTTAACCACCGTGAAAGGACACTTTCCAAGCAATTTTTAGGAAATAATCGCCATGAAAAATCTTCAATAAATGGCATTGAAGAGCTTAGTATCCACGATGATTATTTTATTAACTGCTGTAAAAGGTTAAAAAAATTTTTATATAAATTTATTTTAATTTGTATATAACCTCCTTGCAATACCAAAACAAAATACACCAATTCTATCTAGTAGAATAGACCAAAACAATATAAAACCAATTCAAAGCTAAAACGCAATTTTTAGCAAACTCAAATTCAACTAAAATTCAATGAATTCAATACTAAAACTCAAATGTAACTCTAGGATAACTAAAGTTTCCAATCCTAATTCATCTAAACCTAATGGTCAATAACTTAACCAATCTATAGTTCAATTAAACGTAATTGACAATCAACTAAAAAACCTATATTCAATTATTAATCCCAAAATTTTGAACTTCAACTACACTAAATGTTTATAAACCTATAATCTTAACTAATATTCTTGACAAACCATCCCTCATTGAGTTGATATTGTCTAGTTCATATTCCGCCCTATCTCAAAATGCTTGTAAATTGAAAAGAACAAAGTCAACCAACCAACTAGCTAAGAAAAGAGGCAAATCTCAACAATTATAACCAACAAAACAACAACAACAATCTTAAACCAATAAATAAAACTTTTTCTACGTAAAAGTTCTAAATCTAAAATAGGAACCCCAATGATATCCATTTGCCATGAAATTTTACACAAAATTTCATCATCAATCGAAATTGGTAACTGAAAAAATTTTTGGCCAAACATTCAATAGATTAATGATAAAAATTTATCAATTTGTCTTACAATAATCTTATGTGCTTGTTATCTTCCACTCTTACCCCATTGGATTTTTATTTTGATTAGAAGTAACCTAAAACACATTTGCAACTCAAAGGAATGTTTTTTGACAGGTAGTATTCCAGCACAGCTAGAAGATCTTCCACATCTCGGATATCTAAGCTTGTCTCATAACCATTTTAGTTCAAGTGAGTTATATCTCATCCTATTCTGAACTAAAAAAAAGATTGAGAAATAATACGTTGAAGACATGTTTTAAAGGATTAAAATACTTAGCATGTTTTAAGTGAAAAAAGCCTTAGTATCAAGAAGTCATTTTTAAGTTTTCTGATATTAACAATTCAAAAAAAACTGAGTGTTCTATAAATTAACCACAATAATATCATAAAGGACAAGCATGGACAAACTTTTGGTTTTAAGGGGAGATGCATTGAAGACACATGACTAGTAAACAGTGCTATTATTTTGTTCACTAATGCTAAAGCTACTGTGATGATCACAGAGGAGAAGGATGCACTACTTCAGAGCAAATGGTGGAACATCAAAGATAATGCCTCAAACTGTTATTGTGACTGGCATGGCATATCTTGCAATAGCGTTGAAAATGTAATTTCAATTGACCAACCAAGAATCCATTCACAACAACCTCGGCTAGCAGATCTCAACTTCATTGCATTTCCAAAACTAAAATATTTGAATCTTTCTAGAATGGGAATAATAGGTACCACTCTACTTAAAATCCTAGCTCTTCATTCATTCATCCAATATTTACATGTCTTCCAGTAATCTTACTTACCTTCCACCCTTGCTCAATTTGAATAAATGCAATCTATCTAGAGTCATTCCTTTATGACAAAAACTAAAGACTTGTGCACAAATTTATTCACTGCAGGTGATATCCCTTCTTCCATTTTCAATTTGACAAATCTAGAAGAGTTTGATGTTTCTCAAAATCAACTAATTGGTGGCATACCAATAAAGTTTGAATATTTATATTCTCTTTCTCTTCTAAATGTCTCCCAAAACAAGCTGAGTGGAATTGTGCCTTACTTTAGGAACAGGTTCAATGACAATTTTCATGTTGACTTTAGTCACAACAAAATCAATAGACTATTACCATCTGGGATATGCACTTTTCCATCAAAATGTAGCATTGATTTGAGCTACAATAATATCTCTGGTAATATACCTAGAGAGCTTGGTGAGCTGCTCTACATCAACTTGTCATACAATCATCTCAGCGGCTATGTCCCTAGTGAAGTTTATAGCTCTTTTCCTCATGACATTTTAAATGGTAATAAAGAATTACTTGGTCTAGAGAAGATATATGATTCTTCTAAAGATTCAAAGTCTTTGTTGAAAATCATTATTCCTTTGACAATTTTTGTTGTCATCATATTTGTTGGGGGTTTCATCTGGTTTCATTCTTTCAAAAAGAACAAGAAATTCATAATTGAGACAAGAGAAACAAAAAATGGGGATTTGTTTTCCATATGGAATTATGATGGAAAAATTGCATATGAAAATATTATAGAAGCAACAGAGGACTTTGACATCAAATATTGTATTGGAACTGGTTCCTATGGAAGTGTTTATAGAGCACAACTTCCTAGTGGCAAAATTGTAGCATTAAAAAAACTCCATAGAAGAGAATATGGAAACACATCTTTTGCCAAGAGTTTTCACAATGAAGTGAAGATGTTGAGTGAAATTCGACATCGCAATATTATAAAGCTTCATGGTTTTTGCATACATAATCAGTGCATGTTTCTCATCTATGAATACATGGAAAGAGGAAGCCTTTTTTATGTGTTGAATAATGATGACGAAGCTAAAGAGTTGGATTGGGGTAAGAGAGTGAATGTCATCAAAGGAATAGCAAATGCTTTGTTCTACATGCATCATGATTGCGTTCCTCCAATTATCCATCGAGACATAACAAGTAGTAATATATTGTTCAACTCAAAGATGGAGGCTTTTCTATCTGACTTTGGCACAGCTAAAATCATTGATCCAGATACATCTAATCAAACTCTTCTAGTTGGTACTTATGGTTATGTTGCTCCAGGTCAGCTTTCTTGATTTCTTTGCTACTTATCTTGTTGTGTTGTATTTTACAATTATTTATCTTTTAATAAATATTTATTTAACTTTTAGTTCCTTGCAGAGCTTGCATACACCTTGGCTGTGACTGAAAAATGTGATGTTTATAGTTTTGGAGTGGTTACAATGGAAACAATTATGGGAAAACATCCTGGAGATTTAATATCATCTTTTTCAAAGGCCAACACTGAAAGCATTTTGCTAAAGGATGTGCTAGACCCACATGTCCAGCTGCCATCACAAAAAGATGCAAGAGATGTGACTCTTTTGGTCACAATAGCATTAGCATGCTTAAATCCATCTCCCAAATCTCGACCAACAATGCAACAAGTGTCTCAAAAGCTTTTATCCTCCGACTTGCCACTAACCACTCCTTTCAATGATATCTCAATCCAGCATTTACTAAATCAAGATATGCAAATAATCTAGTCTGATAAATAGCTGAGATTTGGCTTTATGTTTGCTCTATGCCGTAGATGAAACCTTTAAGGATTTGTCAGTTTTATGTTTGCTTAATGCCTCACATGAAATCTTTAAGCATTTGTCGCAAAGTCTAGATTTGAAGCTTGCCATATGTGTAATCTCTTGCAGCTGATATTTGCCCATCAAAAAACTCTTTGTATGTCAAGTTTGGCATAACCTTATTTTGTTAAAATAATGAGGTATCAAACTGAATTATAAGGAATCTATACATTGAAGCAACCATCAAAATTTGAAGTGGCAAGATATGGAATAAAAACTCAATAATGATTCAATAAACTTGTATATAACTAATTAAGTTAAAAATGTCATATTCAAATGAATGCTCAAGCTCTGTTTTTTGTCCCAAAACTAATGTCCAGTCATGTCAACTCTCCTCTTATTTCTTATTGCGTTCAAAGTAAAATTGATTTTACCAATTACTGAAGTTCCGCAGTAAGATTTAAGTTATATTTTTTGTCAAATCATGCTAGGGTCAAAGAGGGAGTGAATTGGGTAAGTAATAAAATTAATTAAAACTTTTTGCAATGTAGAAAAGAAAGTAGATTATGACTTAATTGTTAAAGGTTTCATATGTATGGTGCAACGCAATCCTTGTTTATTTTTTCTTTAATTTAGAATCTCTTATACCTTATCCCCTTTTTTTAAAAATCCAAAAATGTAAATAATAATAATAATGAGAAATTCACACTTGACAGTCATATAATGAGATATCAGAATGTAAATGCTGTAAGTAATGGACTATGCAAATCTTGGCGTGTTAAGAACAGGGGAAAACTCTAACATATTTGAAGCTTTTTTGATGTATTTGAAGTTTTTTTAATGTTTTTGCACAAGAATGTTGATTTCTAGATTTTATAAATCATTTGAGCACATGTAATTTTGAAATCAAAGCTCTTATCTCTTTTTACAAGAGACTCTAAGAAAATAGGAAAAACACGTAAGATATTTACAAACTTCACCCCTTCTTCTCTTCTTGATCCAATTATTACATTTATGAACGACCATTTAGAATCCTGCAAAACAATCTTTTTTCTTAATTTTGTTATCGTAAAAAGAAGTGATATAACATCTTTGAATAAAAAAAAAAATCAGCCCAGCCACACACCTCTATTAATTAATTACCAGAGTCTCATTTTTTACTCTTCTAGATTTAATAAGACGTATTTCATTGATTTATGAGTTTAGATGCTCTCCATTAAATTAATTCTTCCCTTCAGACGCTAATCTTTCAACTAAATCCAAAAAAAAATTTTAGTTATTTTTTTAAAGTTGGTTGCGTAATCTGTTTTCTCCTAACTATCCGCTAGAACTGCCAGTTGCATGGAAATTGAGTAAACCATTTCAGTGTCCTCCTGACAACCATATTTCATTGAAATTCGAGAGCACTGACTTTTGAAATCCCCAAAATCTGCATCTTTGTCCGTGGACCAGAATTTTGAAAGGGCAAACAGACTTTCATATAACACAACACAAATAATGGTCCTTGTGCACTAGAGTTCCAATTATACACTTCTTGCAGCAATCGCAACACGATCACTGGGGGATCAGGACAGCATAATTAAAAGGGAAGAAAAACAAGCTGCAGAGAAAAATCATATGCCCTGAAGTTCTTGAGTATTATCACTTTCAAATGGGACTTTATTGTAATTCTGATAGATTTTTAAGTATAAAAGACGCTACTTTTTTTTCAAGGAGATAGAGATGATGCAAAAATAATCTGATGCAGTAATATTTTAAGTAAATAGGTACTTAAGTGCTTAAGCTAGCTACCTTATTTCCATTAAAGCGAATTGAAAAAATAAAATATTATCTCCGACCCTTAATATAAGAGCTAATTAACTAATTTTAGTAAATTAATAAAGTTTTTTAAGTTAGTTATTTGTAATAAATAAGTATTTTATTTTCTAAAATATTCTTGCTAATTATGTATATTAATTAGAACTATCATTTGACAGAACTTTTAATATGTACAAGATGTACAACTATTATGAAAACTATTTTGAAAAAAAAAAGAAGATAAATATGAGATACAAAATAGATTGAGATTTTATATTTATGACCAAATTAAATGTCAAACTAGCTCTTATGTTAAGGAGTAGAGATAGTATATATTAAATCACTCCGTTATTGTTGTTGCAATGAGCCACGTCAAGGGAGAATTTCACATAAGTTCTATGTTATGAACTTATCTGCTGGCTCAAGCAATTTTAAATTTAATTTCACTCTTTTTAGCCCAAAATAAAATTAAGTTTAAAAAGAAAATGACCATGCATGTTACCTTTAAAATTTTAACCTCATAAGTGAGTTTGCAAGTCAAAATAAGCATTTTCATGAACAAGATGTTTGCATGAAACTTCACAAATATTGTTCTGTTCTTTCACCAATTTAAATCATTATCGAAATAGACATCAATAAGTAAACCTGGCAATGTTGGCAAAACTGGTCTAGATGCAAGGTCTATCGGTCTCAAATGATGATCATCTTCCAAATTGTTAAGTAGAACAAAGTGATTAGCAAAATTTTGATATGTTCTTGCTCGTTAATGACCAAAAGCTTGCACTTCATTATTATATAAATATATATATAGACACACATATAACTTAATGTTTACACTTGCATAACATCATTGAAATTTAGCAGAAACACTCGCAAAACTTGCACCATTCCTCAGTTGCATCTAGGGATTGTTTAATCCCAAATAACAAGCATGTCTTTATTGTCAACACTCTTTTAATGAGTTTTCTTAATCCCAATCCCAATTTTTAGCTCTCACTTTCAATATTTCAAGCTGCCCCGTTTACTCTTACATGTTGCTCGCCCCCAACTAGCATGTTCGAAGCCTTAATAACTACTATTTGAATGATAACAACAAGAACAAGCAAAATGTAGTTCAGTGTGGTTGCCAAATAGATCAAATGACCAAGATTACATTGGAATATATTATCTCTGGTTCGTAATATAAGAAATCATTTGACTTTTATTTTGGTTCTAAATATAAGACCCAAATCCACTTTGTTTATCATATTTATCTATTTTTCTCAAGATAGTCCTTATAATAATGATAGTTTTAGCCAATCCACTTGATTAGTAAAGATATTTTTACAAAAATAACATCTATTTATTACAAATAACTAATAGAACTAATTTTTTTAATTTACTCAAATTAGTTAACTAGCTTTTATATTAAGGACCGAAAGTAGTTCTTAAATAAAAAAACTGCAGATTCAAGAAGAGCATGTCATAAAGGAAATGTAGTTTTTGAAGCTTGCTCAATGTTTCTCACAAAATTGTAAGGTTGCACTTATTCTTAATGACGGCACAGTCAAAGCCAAAATTTCTTTGGGAACTGCAAACCAAACATAAAGAAGCAAGTAACATGGGATGACGCTTGGGCGGCCAAGTTATTGGGCTTTCGGTGTCCCAAATACCTTCCCACAATTTTTATTATGATGGCTTGTAGTAAGAACCGGTTCTTGATACTCATCATTGCTGTAAGATTTGCACTTTAAAAATATAATTTTAAGAGTTTAGATTTACAATTTTTAGCTGATGATTTTTTAAGTAAAAATATTTCTTGAAAAACTAACGTTTGAAAGATTATTTTTATTTTAGATTTTCCACACATCAAAATATTAAATTATTAAAAAAAATTTGTTAAATTTAGACTCTGAAATTTTTGAACGTCCCACATTCCCAAATTGAATCCCTGGTAATATGGGGTCAACCGGTCAATTACATTTACTTATTAATTCTCTAATATGTATTTTGTTTTTGCCATCAAGTCACTAGTTACTCCCTTTCATTTGATTCTTCTTATAAGGTTTTATTAACCATTTTGTATAAGTTAAAAAAATTAGTTAAAATTGGTTAAAGTTTCTAAGATTCCAAAAATTGCCTTAAATGATTTAGTTAAAAATTTTTTTTTAAAAAAAAGTCATCAATGAAGTCAACTCTTCGCATCACACACGTTATGATCATGCACCTCCAACGATTTTGACGTTGACGATGGCTCATCAAAAAGGTCCTTCATAAAACGTAGAAAAACAAGTTGAGAGTTGCGTGGTTTTTGCTAACAAATTATAAGCACCAAAATATATTACTCCCTCTATCCATAATACTCTTCTACTCCTTAACGGATGACCTAATTTAAGAGTTAATGTTTATTTTATATGTAAGATTTATTTCACATGTTTTTTTTTTAAATTAATCTTATTAATATTCCCCCAATAATAATAATCAAATAGGAGAGAGAGGGAAAGAATTAAGAAAGATAATTAGGATACTTTAAAATAAAGCATATTATATTAACTAAATTAACTAACATTCTTAATCTATCCAAATTAGTTTACTAGGTCTTACATTAAGAACCAGAAAAATATAAAAAGTTAGTAATTAAGTTTTCTCACAAAGTAAAGAAGTTAGTTAAGTCATTAAATTTGTTTCAAATTGATAAAAGTTACCTATTTTATCCTCATTAAAGAATTTGATTGAAAAATTCGTTCACACCTCTCACATTTAAAACTTTCTTGCCTGCTTGTAACAATGGTTAAAAGTGAAAAACTATCATTAATTATTCTGTCAAGCTCTTATATTTTGGACCAAAATTTTTTATACCTTGTCAACATTTTATATTTTGAACCAAAATTTTCTTTTAACCAAGTTCTTAAATTATGGACCGGAATGAATATATATTGAAATGCATTGGTTCAGCTTTCATCATCAGAATAACAGCCTTCCTAAAATAACTCGGCTTCTATGATAATTTTGGTGATCACTTAGCTTTCCTTAACTAATCATTACTATTTTTGTACTAACTGTCATTCTATAATTTTAAATAACGGTGATTAAAAAAATGAAATGATCTCAAATGCTCATAAAACTTAAAATTAGTTCTCGACCGTTCATTGAAACTCAAACAGGTAAAGTATACGCGTATTTAATAAGACTACTACTGCTGCTGCTGCTGCTGCTGCTGCTGCTGCTGCTGCTGCTGCTACCACCACCACGACCACTGCCACCACCACCACCACTACTACCACCACTACTACTACGACTACCACTACTACTACTACTACTACTACTACTACTACCACGGCTACTACGACTACTACTACCACTACGACCACCACCACCACCACCACCACCACTACTACGACCACCACTACTACGACTATTACTACTACTACTACTACTACGACTACTACTACTACTACTACTACGATTACTACCACTACTACCACTACCACCACTACTACCACTACTACTACGAGTACCACTACTACTACCACTACTACTACCACTACTACCACTACCACTACCACTACCACTACCACTACCACTACCACTACCACTACCACTACTACGACGACTACGACTACTACGACTACTACTACTACTACTACTACCACCCACTACTACTACTACCACTACTCCTACTGCTCCTACTCCTACTACTCCTACTGCTCCTACTCCTACTGCTCCTGCTCCTGCTGCTCCTGCTCCTGCTACTGCTGCTGCTCCTGCTGCTACGACTACTACTACCACTACTACTACCACTACTGCTACTGCTGCTATTGCTGCTACTGCTGCTACTCCTGCTGCTGCTGCTCTTGCTGCTCCTGCTGCTGCTATTATTATTATTATTAAATTTAATGAATTAATTTTATTTAATTTCGTTCTTTTTGTCCATATACACGTGAGTAAATTTTTCTGACAGGATTGCAAGTGAAGGCTTTTGTACAGTACTATATCCAGTCTTTAATGTAAAAGCTAGTTGACTAATTTGAGTAGATAAAGAAATTTAGTTAAGTTAGTTATTTGTAATAAATAAATATTGTCTTTCTTAAAATATCCTTACTAATCAAGTATATTAGCTAGAATTATTATTATTACAAAGATCACTTTGAAAAAAATAGATAAATATGAGAGGCAAAATGGATAGGAGTCTTATATTTAGAACCAAGATAAAAATCAAACAAGTTGTTATATTAAGTATAACAGAGGTAGTATTAACTTAGTGAATGGTGACTGAGAATGATCATTGAATTCTTTAATAAAACAGTTTTCTTTGTCATTTCTTTTTATTTTAATAGTAGTATAGTTTTATTATTTGACACAGGTGTTTAGAGTCATTTAGTTAAGTTTCTCCTAAACGTCATAAATAATTTGTAAATATTTTAAAAAATAAGTTGGTTATTTAAAAAAATGTGTATTTAAGTACCTTTTTCAATGACTGGCGACCCCTGCCCCATAATTATTTAGACCATCTTTATGAAGACCATTAACAATGATCTTTTGCGATGGCCAAAAAAAAAAAATAACAATGATCTTTTGCGCCTTGTTTGATTTCTCAAAACAATCAGAAAAAAGGTTAAAAAAATATTTAAACAAGTTCAAGTTTCTTTGGTTTTAGATTAAGCGAGTAAGTATTAATGGCTTGAAGAGTTAAAATAAAAAAAATAAAAAAGGTATCAATAGCCTAGAATCATGAGTTAGATCGAACCCGAGACCTCTAACTTACAAAACAGTGTTCATATTGCACTATGCACTGAATTATTGTGCCAATAGCTAAGCTTGACCGATTCGGTAGAATGTAATAAAAGGTTGTGGTTTTTTAAAATAATTATAAAAAATTTAGGCATTTTCTAATAAATTGTCACACATGATGCTTGGAGCTTGGATCCCTACTGTTCTTATCACTGTAATAAAATGTGTACCATCTAAAATTTGATTTGAACTATCTAAATTTAACATCTTCAATTTACAATTTTTAATGATAAATTAATTTTTTTAAAAGTTGTAATTTTTTTAAAGAAAAACTAAATTATGCTCCTATAAAGACTCAGCTTCTTCACTCATTTAGTGATCACTTTGCATGAATCAGTGGGCATTCTCCAATACTATGCCGACTACTCCAACAATAAGCACTACGACAATAATAGTGATTTTACAACTATGCCCTGCCCTTACTTTCTTCCAGAATAGCAAAGGAGAAACATGCTATGTTTCAAAGCAATTAATGGTAAGAAAAGGTATATTTCTATAATTTGATATGTCACGCGTCTTTGAAAATATAATCCTAAAAGTTAAAAATAATGGGTTCTTTTTCGGAGCTCCATGGGACCACTATGCTGTGGTATTCATCATCTCATGTTTGACAATTTCATGTCCATTTTTGTTATAATAACTCCAAAGACTAAAGAGTTTAATATTGACCAAGATCATTAACAATTGAGGCCATCTCACACGATATGATTAGTCCATTTGCCATTGGACCTACATACTCCAACCATTTTGGGGCGTAGAAGTGATTCAATATTGCACTGTACATAAAGACTTTGTTGATGCATTCATTTGGCGATCACGTTGTGTAAACTAATGAATTGAAGATGGGGCGTGATGGTGTTTTTTTCATTATGCTTTGCTGTAAATTTCTTCCACATTAATGGCACAGTATCAGTTGCCATGATAAAAGAGGAGAAACATGCTCTGCTTCATACCAAATGGTGGAATTTCAGCAACAGTGCCCACAATTTGTCAAACCCTTATCAATTTATCATTGGGAAGAGATATATTCCGATAAATTTGGAAGCGTGATTGAGATCTATCAACCAATGACCATTGCACAGCACCTTCCTTGGCTAGCTAATCTCAACCTCATTGCATTTCTCAATCTAGAACATCTCATACTTGTTTGAATGGGTTTGATAGATGCCATTTCTATCACATCCTAAGAAATTTCACCTGGACATAGGGAATTAAAAATTTAGATGAGAGCCAATGTAGAAACTAGACAGGAAGGCGAAACAACTTTTGATGTGAAACCCCGATAAAGTCCGGGCTGGCATTTTCATAATTATCGGTCTAGGAAGGGCAAAACAGGAAATTTTGAGAAAAATTCTAGAAAGTTCCTGAAAAATGGAGAAAATGCAAATTAGAGGTTTTAGAATCTCAATTGAGACCCAAAATATGAAATTATTGTGAAAATGAATTATCATAGAATTTCCTGTAAATGGAATTTTTCAGGAAAATACTGGAAAATCGGAGGAAAATAATTATTTTAATTAGTTAGAGGTCTCAATAAATCTAAAAAAAATATGAAAAAATCATCTAAATATTTGTCTGACTTTATAAAATTGGTTTTATGCTTTGAAAGCTCAGCTCAGGGATTAATTTTAAGGAATTTATTTTCCTGCAATGATACCAATAGGGGCATAATCGGAGAAAATTCAAAATAAATACCTAGAGGTGGCAAAAAATTTTAAAAATTTTAAGATCATATTCTTATATTAAAAGGTGAGTTATCATAGAGAGAAATGAAATTTTGGAGGTCTAGAAAAATTATGAAATGTTACTAGTGAATAGTAACTGATAAAGTATCGGAATGGTTTGGGATTTTAATTTTGTGGGCCATCTTTTTGGACCATTCTAGACCATTTGTGGGGCCTATATTAGGCCTAATTCAAACCCAATTTCATGCATTTTCTGGACCCTACTATTTTTAATTAAAATAAAGCCCAAAATTGTTGGATAATTGTTGGAAAACTCTAGTAAGGGACACTTGTTTAGATCTGAAGTTATATAGCATTTGATGGCTACCAACTCACCATATTACATGGCACTTTAGGAGTCTAATTTGGGGGAAGGATGGCAGCTTGGTTGGTCTATAAATACCCCTCCCTAAAATACAAGAAAAATGTTAGAAAATTAGAAAAAGAGGAGGAGGTGCTGTCACTTTTATTCCAGACCAAGGAGACCAAAAATTTTAAGGTATTTGAGCAAGGAAACATTCAGTTTTTACCAAGGAAGCATCAAGGTATGCTCAAGCTTTTCAATCCCTAAGTTTCAAGTTAGTTTAGTTAGGGTTTTAGCTTGAAATTCCTTGGGGAGATGCTGCTCAAATTTGGTTTGATTGTGCAACTATTAGGGAAGGATAGAAACCTTAAATATGATATGGATCAAGCTTGTTTAGGTGATGTATGGAGTGGTTTTTGAAAGAAAATCCACCTAGGGTCCTATATGTTCATTTCGGCTAGATCAAGTTAGGGGTGCAAGAATTTGTTTTGCATGGATTTGATGATTCCAATAAGTTTAAAATGTGTTTTAATGTAGGGATATACTAAAAGGAAGTGTATACAATCATTGGAATCAAAAATGAAATTTTTGGAAGCTTGAATACCCCTATTCGGCCAACATGATTTCATGGGGAAGGAGTTTGATTTTTGAAAAAATAATTGGATATTTGAATTTTTCATGAAAAATTATGTAGGATTAGGCCAAGATATCATTGATTCTAAAAGAGGAACTATTTTGTTAAAAATCCAAGAAAAAAGGGAAATTGTTAGGTTAAAATTAAAGTGTTGTGTTTAACTTATTAGTTGTTAATGTAGTTGTATTTATGACTTGAATCAATAGGTGTTGTGAGGAGAAATCAAGGAGAAGCACAACCCCTTTGAGGAGACCGAATTAATCAAGTGCTAAAAAGTAGCATTGAATTATAGTTTGATTATTTATCTTGCTTGTTTAATGTGATTATGTTGTGTGCTTGGATTGAAGAATTATGTTGTGTTCTTGGTTGATTGGATGGCTTTGGATTATGATTTGGCCAAATGCATTGAATTATGTTATTATGGAAGAGTTGGTGTTCCTCTCCTAGCATGGTATTAACTATGATTTTATGTGGTTTGATTATGCCTTGAGATGTGATAACATGTCACATTGTAACTTGCTTGATTTACATGATAATTATAATCCAATTGCTACTGAGATTTTTTTGAAATCTCATTTCTTCCATGTTAATTTAAGTACCAAATAAGGGATGGTTCATCCAATGGCAAGGGCAGGGAAATGGTATTAGGATGAAGAAGCATTATGGAATTTATGATGTGTTGGAAAAGTTATGTAATGTTTTAGTGAACTTTATGTTGAGTTGTAATGAATTTTGGATGATGACATAATGTAAATTATATCTTTATGGCATGTCCTAATGCTGAAACATTGAGTAGTACAATGTCCAATTGGTATGGAAAAAGTAAAAAGGAAATAAAATTCAAGATAATGGAAAATAAGGGATAAAAATGCCCTAAATGAGGCTAAACTTGGGATACATAAAATAATAAGCAAATGATGGAGTCTGGACCTGAGATTTTTTAGACAAATAGATATCATTTTTAGCTTTAAATCAAGTGATAGACTACTAAATTTGGAGTTGTGTGCTAAGAGTTATTCCCTCCAAAAGTTGGGCTAAAATACTGAAAATTTAAAAATTGATCATATAAACAGTGCACTTAGTAGAATTTTTTGGTACTGTTCTAGATGGAATTGAGTCCAATGAATATTTTTCCTTTAAATATCTCTTAGCAATATTCAAATAAAAATTTGAACCACCTCATTTTGATTTTTTGAAAATTAGTTATAAATTTTCAAAGTTGACCTAAATTCGGATGAATAGTGTACGGATAGATTAAATAGGAAAATTTTGGAATGGAAATTTTTCACTTGGAAACGTTTGAAAATGTGTTATAATGGTTCCAATTGACGTATAATGAGATATTAAATGAGGTGTTACAATTCCAACCCATATAGGATCTTTTCATAAACTTATCCATCTAGACCTATATTGTAACAGTTTTACCGGTGAATTATATATCTTTCATTTCTACTCTTACTTTACAAATTAACTAAATTTTGAAATATTATATATACCTCCACACAACCTAATACCTCTATTGATAGGGATAATTCCATCATAGATTGGAGCTCTCTCACTTGTCTAGACTTGTTAAATAACAATTTGACTGGTAATTTATGCACTTTTTATTTCTACTCTTACCTTACAAATTCACTAAATTTTGAAATATTATATTTATCTCCACACAACCTAATACCTTTATTGATATAGATCATTCCATCACAGATAGGAGCTCTTTATAATCTCACTTGTCTGGACTTCTCTTGTAACAATCTTACTAGTATGTTATGTCTCCTCCATTTCTACTCTTGCCTTGTAAATTCACTCAATTTTGAAATATTGTATTTACCTCCACACAACCTAACCTCTATTGACAGGGATCATTCCATCACAGATAAGAGCTCTTCATAATCTCACTTATCTGGACTTGTCTCGTAATAATCTCACCGGTGTGTCTCTTATGTTTCTACTCTTGTCTTGTAAATTCACTCAATTTAGAAATATTGCATTTACCTCCATATAACCTAATACTTTTATTAACAGGGATCATCCTATCATATA